AAAACTTAGAGATTTTGCACCCTGACACCAAGACAAATTTCCTTATTTGTGTACAAACTTGGCCATAAACATGATTCTGACTGTGGTGATGTCAAAAACTCCCAGTAGATCAGCAGTTTATACTCAGACCAGCCCAATTGGTACTACCATGCCAAATGAAAAGTCACTTAAACCATATTTCTTCCCCATTCTGATGTTCAGTTTGAGCTTCAGCAGGTTGTCTTGACCATGTCTTTATACCTATATGCATTTGATTATTGCATATAGGTAAAAAAAAAAAAAAATAGATATATTAAAAAGGATAAACTTTTAAAACAGCTAATTTTTTCCCAAATTTGAAATGAACTTCATGCTCACAAACACCCAGGGAGTCAGCGTCAGGTGGCTGGAAGGTCACAGAAAAGCTGCTTTCAGACTCTGGAAGGACTTCAAAATGCAGGCCACAAACTGAACCTGGTAAGATGCATAAATGAAGCGTTACATATTTTAAGCACAACAATGTTTGCTGCCCACTTTACACCATCTCTGTGTCGACCGGTTTTGTAATGTAAAAACACTCCTACCTGGACTGGCACAGTGAAATATGAAACAGCTCCTCAGCAGGGTGTTAATGGCACACTGGTGGCGCAGCAGCTCCAGCAGGGCTGGGACATGACCAGGGTGGGTGAAGGGAACACTGTCCACCACAGCCCCCCTGTGGGCAGGCACATCCCATGCAGCTCCAGGGAAAACATAACTATGCATCACACCACCAGGAAGAGTCTAGATGGATAAACATTGATCTTTTTTTTTTTTTAAATGCATAAATTACATATTAAATACTAACCCCTCTTTTACCTTTTCCACTTATAATAAATAGTATCCTCATACCACTGTAAAAATCATGTTGCTTTCGCATGTCATCTCCCAGGAGCTGTTTGCGCTTAATGAATCTCTCATGAGAAGCTTGGGTAAGGGTGCCCACTGCAGGTCAACATCTGGTACAGTCACATGTAGGAAATAATCGGAGACAGAGCAGCAGTAATGAGCAGGCTTTTTGTTTCATGTCCATTTCACACAATACTCATGAAAGCCTCCCTGACCTATAATTTGGCTGAGCTTCTTTACAAAAGACGGCATCACGGGCATAGCTGGCTGCAGTTTAAGCAGGAAACAGGCAGGCAGCATTTCATTTGGCACCTCATTCAGCGGAACAAACACAGGATAACTGCTCCAGGACACAATTGTACTCCATTAACACCAACGCTAGTGACAGTCAGACTCACTCATAAATGGAAAATGAAACGTGTCCCGCTGGGTAAGAGATTAAAAATCAGAAAGCAGGCCGATACCCCTGAGGATTCAGCTGGGGAGGCTGAGGGACCACAGATGCCATCTGAAGCTTGTGGGTCACATCGCTGACAACTACAGTAACCTGGGCGGCTTGAACAACTGGATTCAAGTCTGTCATTTGAGGAAAATCTATTACTTTTAACATCTCCGATGACACCTGTATTGAATGAACTGAATGAAAGCGAAGGCAATTTATCACGTTTTTAACTCAGAAGCTTACCTGACACCAAAGTTTTCGTTCCATTGGTCGGAGGAATAAAGAACCGCATGGTGAAAGGACAATCTAGAACAGGGATGTCAAACTCATTTTACACCAAGGGCCACATTCAGCCTAGTTTCCTCTTAATTAGGCCAGACCAGTGACCCTTCCCTTTCTGTCAGTGTAAATACATTTAACTTCAATTTTAATGACTTTTCTATAATAGACAGTGAAAACTTTTACATCACCTAATTGTTTATCCATTACTTTGTGTGGTGTGGTTGACTGTGGGGGAGGTGTTTATCAGAAGGAAAGTTGTAAAACTTGTGAAAATAAAGTTTTACATCTTTCACATTTTCCAAAGCCGTCCAGTGGGCCAGATTGAAGTCATTACTGGGCCAATTCTGGCCCCCGCACCTTATATTTGACACTCTTGATCTAGAATTTAATTTGCATAATTTAAATACAACAAATTCAATATACAAGTGTAACTATACCTTCTTTTCCCATGCTTAAATCCCCTATCCTGCCATTGTTTATCAAGTCCATTTCAGGGTCAAAATACTTTTGTTCCCTGAAAAGAGGAAAAAATACAAAAAAAAAAAAAACTGCAGTTTATATGAAGAGCTACAATTATTTACTCTCCTGATCATTTTATATACATGCGTTTTGGTTTATGAAATTTAAATTGAAGCACTGAACAGCAATTCATTTTGTTTTAAGCAGACAGACTTTTGGAAAGTTGTTGCTTTGTCACACACCTTGGCAAATGAGCGATTTTCCATAAGTCTTTCCCAAGGCACTGTAGAGATGCCAACAATTTAAATTTAATTTCACTGGAAAAGAAAAAAGGGAACACATGGCTAAATGATCACAAGAGCCTCAGATTTATAAGAACTAAAGAATATTTGATAAGCTGAGGTAGGCACTTGTCTCCAGGGATGTTGTACTGGGCAAAGAGGCCTTGTAACTTCAGGGAGAAGGCGGCAAAGTTTTTGGACCTGGGCACCCAGAAAGCAGCACAATCAGCAAATAGAGCTAAAACCATTAGTGCTGTCATTATGCTCTTAAAAAAAATTTAGTGGATAATGGCACTGCTTACTGCAAGAAAAATGTAAATTTAAAAGCAATCCATTCCCTTACCTTAGCAGCTGAAGCAGGGATTCACTGGGCTAAGAGACAGTTTTATTTTATCAGCATGGTTAGCAAAAGGTGAGAAGTTCTAATGACTTGCTGGAAACAGCACAGTCCACTTACAACAGGGGATTCTCCGTGAGGGACCACCTTCACCTCCTCCACTTCACCACACGGCAACAACAATACCTCAACGTAGAATAAATCAGCTGATAAATAGCACGTGGCCTCAGCAAAGTGAAAACTCATCCTTGGGAGAAAAGATTCATATGGATAACAAGGTGTATTCACAGTAGATTAATAGAAAAACAGATGAGGAAAGATATGAGTCTCAAAAGCAAAAACAAAGCCACGGAGGTCAGTTTTATACCCTTGTTGTTTTGCGATAATCTCTAGGCGGAGCTTTGTGGTGTTGATGGTGCACACTGAAACATAACGAGATTCATTTTACTTATGTAAAGTAAAAATACTTAAAAAACAAAAAAAACAAAACACATGTTACTCACATACCGTTTGATTCTTCCTGGAGTTTTTCCAGGGATCTTTCCAGTGGCTTACGGGATCTGGATTCATCTCTGGATTTCTCCTATTAAAGGAACAAAGGCGAGAGACAAAGAAAACAACAATGGACTGTTTGTATGGCAAAAGCAAAGTCTTGTGCAAACAGCCTTTGGTCCTGTCTGCCCATCTCACCATGCAACACAAACTGCATGACACCATCTCAAGGAAAACACTGACATTTGCATGCTTTTCATACTGGGATGTGTGTGTTTAATGAAACAAATGTTTTGGAACTAGGAGTTTGAAATTATTGTACTTAATTTTTTTTGAAGAAGAAGAACCCCACTTCTTCACAAGTTCTCTTTAAGATCACTGCTGGAAGAGAAATTGATAACTAGCCCCAGATGCCTTATCCCTTTGGACCACACATCACTTCAGACCACCAAGTAATCACATTTCTTCAACACACTCCAGAGACTGACCACTGCCAAGCTCCACTCCACATTAATCCAAAAGTATTATCTACCCTGCTGCTCCACCCATGACAAATCTAAAGAAAACTAACCAACCCTCTCTTCTCACAGAGGCCCAGCATACAGATAGAACAATAATAATAATAGTGACTGCACAGAGTACAGCCCGTTTGCCTCATGTCAGTGCTTGAACTCTCAAACCTCTAACCAGATAATATACATGTACAAGAGGGACATCCTCTATTTAAGAATCGATAAATAGTGCAAAGGAAAATTAATTAAGCCAGCAGTAGTGCATGTCTGGCCAAAATGGATGGTGTTAAAAACTGGAATCAAAGCCAAATCCATAAAGATAACCAACAACCCACAGTCAAACTACTTTGTTTTGATTTGAAGGCTTTACTCCATACACTGTACCAGGTGCTTGATAAGTAAATCCAAGTAGCTTAAGTGATACCAGTCAATGCAAAAAAAAAAGAGAAGAAAAAAAAAAAAGACCGCTGATCAAAAAAACAAAACAAAGCCGTGTGTGTTCCAGGATGAATGATCTCATTCTGAGTGGATAGCCACACCAGTTCACACCACATTATCATATTAGCAGAGCCATGCACTAACCAGCCACATAACGCAACGTACCCCCTTTAAACCCCAAACAAAACAAAGGAGGGGGTCTTAGTTTAAATTAGAAATAAAAATGAGTAATCTCTTTTGCGTAAAACGAGATTTAAAAAAAAACAAAACAAAACAAAAAAAACCCTAACCATACAACTAAAATGATTCAAATAGACCATTTGAGTAGAGGCATTTTCATTTTTATTTAAGGAAGTCTGCCTCACCATACACCTTCGGACAAGCTGAAAAGTGTCAGCCCAACTCTTCTCTGCAAACTTCAAACGCAGCTCTGGAATTGTGACCCTGTCCATCATCACTAAAGCGTCGAAAAACAGGAGATTAATGGGAAAAAATAAAATTAAACTTTCTTCCCATTTTAAGATGTTTTATTTACATTTGCGCATTTTTTTTTAACTTAAATTATGTGTTTATTTAGTGAGAACACTATATTCAAACCGACATACCTGGCATGTGGAGGTCTCTTCACTCTTCTCCTTTTGAACAAACCTGCCACTATTTATGCGGATTAGCCAGTTAATCAGTTATGTGGTACCTTTCATCCGCTGTTCCTAATCTGCATTGTACTGTATGCTCAACTGCGAAGGTAATTATCTGATATGTCCATACCCGGGGGCTATTTTTTTTTTATCTGAAAGAAAATATTACACTCACACACTAAAGTCAAAGTGAGACGCTGTGTGCTTCTCCCAGGCAGGCGGGCGTTGTCAGTCGGAGCCAAGCCCACAGGACGTGCAGTCAGTCTGCTGCTAACAGCTACCAGCCGGGTCTCTGGAGTTAGCTAGAAAGCTAGCCATGAGCTAACAAGTAGCTAGCTGAGTCGTTTCGTTTCGCCACCTTAAATTCCGCTTCATCAGACCTTTTGCCAAGGTGAGTGCTGTTTATTTTTGGATTTGTGTTAATACAAGACATGGTACTGGTGCAACGGACCCTGCTTGTCTTTCAGTTTTATTAGCGTCGCATCATTTAGTTATGATTAGCTGCTCGCTAGCCGTTTTTTCCCCTTTACCCCCCCCCTTCTGTGTGTCCACACTCGTCCTCGCTAACGAGGAAGCTACTGAGTTTGGAAGCAACGAGCGAACATCTGTTGCAGAATATCCGCTTTTAGAGACGTGTCTTTCAGATGTTATCTTCATCCTGAAATGTTACTTTGATGTCAGGTGGCATTTACCTGCCCGGTAGCATAGTTAGCTTGTTAGCCACATTGCCCAGCAGTCAACCAGCTAAGTTGCTAATAAGTTAACGTTGTTGTTAGGGACGTGTACACTGACATTTGCTGTGCTAGTTTATCTTTTATTGTAATAGTTGGTTAAATAGTTGATTTCTCAGTTCATGTTATGTATAGTTTTTTTTTTGTGTATAGTATTTTGTTTTGTATTCTTGGTGTGCTTATGGTGTGGCGTCTTGTTTGTTTTTTATTTGCTAAATAATGACTCGCTGACTAATTTGTCTAACTGGTGTATTGACTTTCCACCCACATTTGTGCTGATGATTGTAAACTGAAGGCATAGTATTGTCTCTACAGTCTCCCTGTCTTTACATAAGGTGACTTGGGTTTGTTTAGAAATTGTTGTTAAACGCCTCTCCAAGCCCAGAACGACTGACTCGTTAATAGTTCCTTTTTCACTTCCACTCAAAACAACTTGCTAAGAGATGTTTGCAGCTTTAAAAGATGAAAGTAAAGCAACATTCCTTCAATTCTTTATAGTACTATTGACTTGCAGTAAATAAACCTTTTATGTTAATTTGTGTAGTGACGAATTGGCTGCAAGCCCATGCTTATCCCTGATCCCCCCCCCCCCAAAAAGGGTTTGTGTTGGCCTTTAGGAAAGGGCTTGAGCACACATTTCTGGACAGTATGCATTTTCCATAGTGTTCTTGGACAGTCCAGTATGGAAAAGAGGCCACTCAATGGCTTTATCATGTGTCACATTTTATCCACTGTTGTCAAAGACATATAAAGTACTGCCAACTTTTCAAAACTTGTCTCCCTTTTCTTAGGGCAGGTTCACTTAAAACTGTTCTATTAGTGGAATTTGTGCGCTTTATTTGTAGTTAACGTTACCTTTTCTGTGCTATTGACAAGCAGTATTTGGTCCTCAGGCTCCAGTATGTATTTGTAGTGACACTTGGCTGCCAAAAGTACTGCACCCACAAGGCGCCTTTCTGAATTGGTATTTGTGTTTCGGTATTTTAGCAACACGCAAAAGAGGTTTAAGATTATGTTAAATGTACCCTTTTGCTATGTTGTAGATTGGCCAGTGCATCTGTGATGTGAGGGTCATGTTTCGACCAGTTTGTTTGGTATAACCTTAACAACTGTTTTTACACAGGAATTAAAGAGTTAGTTTCTTGGGAGAAGTTAGGAATCCCCTTGCTGACTAGGCCTAAAACTGACTCAAACAACATATTCATAAATCTTTCAAAAATTTGTGTACCTTCAGACATCTGAGAGGGAAAAATTAATAAATAAAATCGATTAGTAAATGTCTTTGCATGGACAAGCAAATTATTTCTTGTCTCTTGTATGAGGAAATTATGCCAGGGGTAATATTTCTACCAGTAGTAACTTGCACTTCTATTGCTTTCTCCAGCTTGTGTTTCACAACTAACCAAGATGTAAAAACAAAATGTACAGCTGGAAATTAGAGCCACGTTTACAATTTGTGTGATCTGATTTCTGTTACTTCTGAATACTTATGGCCTGAATTGTTAACAGGTCAAGTGGTATTGCGGTCGCGTTTGTAAAGAGGAAAGTAATACTGCTTAAGGCAGTAAGGGATAGGTGCTATTTGCACAGGCAAATGGCTTCAGAGCAGAATTTATAATGAAAATAAATTTGCGTTTCTAATGCGTCAGTCTTGTGTCATGACAATGTTTCCTGCATTCTTGTTAAGCTACCGAGAATCATTCTTTTGTGCGACGTCTCAAGTCTGATTGTAGTTTCTGCTTTTTAAGCCTTTTATTGGTTTGGGATTTATTACCATGATGACTGTGCAATCAAAATGCAGAAATGGAACCTGGAGGCACTGGAAAATATGATGCAACATCTTTCTCTTTTTTTCTTTTCTTTTTTAAATTCTCCACAGGAACTATCATTCAGCCCTTTGTTGGACCGGCAGTCTTTGGATCTGATTTTTGCAGTCCTCACATTTCACAATCCCTTCCCGCCATCTTGCACTTTCTCTCTTTGATACTTGCATCTCTCGGTACACAGAGCCATGGCAGCTGCAAAGCCAAAAGGGCAGAACTCTCTAGCCCTTCACAAAGTGATAATGGTTGGCAGTGGAGGAGTGGGCAAATCAGCTCTTACACTCCAGTTCATGTATGATGAGGTGAGCTGCTCACATCACAGTACTCAACTGAAATTCATAAAAAATATTAAAAAAAAAACTCTGGCATAATGGATCTCTTTCTGTTTTCTAGTTTGTTGAAGACTACGAGCCCACTAAAGCAGACAGTTACAGGAAGAAAGTGGTGCTGGATGGAGAGGAGGTGCAAATTGACATCCTTGATACAGCCGGGCAAGAGGACTACGCAGCCATCCGGGATAACTACTTCCGAAGTGGCGAGGGTTTCCTCTGCGTATTTTCCATCACAGAGCTGGAGTCTTTTGCAGCAACAGTAGACTTCAGGTGCAGCCACTTAGATTCTTTTAATGAAGCACTTACCCATCCATTAGGATGTAATTAAGCTATTCTTCTTCCTTTGCTTTTTTGATACTTCATCACAACTCAAGGTTTTTCTTCCATCAGGTTGACTTGACTCATATGAGTAAGGATTTTGTGCATTTACCATGCAGCGCTCTGTTTATTTACATAATTCACGGCTGAATGAGATTTCCTGTTTTTTTTTTTTTTGTTTTGTTTTGTTTTGTTTTTTTGTTTTTTTGCAGAGAGCAGATTCTGCGAGTGAAGGAGGATGAGAATGTGCCCTTTCTCCTGGTTGGTAATAAGTCAGACTTGGACGACCGACGGCAGGTTAGCGCAGATGAGGCAAAGGCACGTGCAGAGCAGTGGGGCGTGTGCTACGTGGAGACTTCGGCCAAAACTCGTGCCAATGTTGACAAGGTTTGTTTAACTTGCTGAACATAATAATTCCTTCCTATGCGGACACCAAGCAAAACAGACACATAAACACAGAAATGTGAACACTTGTGTTTTTTATGTTCTCCTGTTAACAGGTTTTTTTCGACCTAATGAGAGAGATCCGGGCAAGAAAAATGGAGGACAGCAAAGAGAAAAACGGGAAGAAGAAAAGTAAAAGTTTGGCCAAGAGAATTAGAGAGAGATGCTGTATTTTATAGTCGTTAGAGGGAGCAGGCTCGCTGCTTATGTACATACGCATTTCTCAGACTTTTGCTTTTTTAAAAATTTTAATTTAATTTAATTTTTTGTGCCCATACCTGACCATGACCTTCTGTTCCTGGTTAACAGGACATCTGACCATGTGTCAGGAAGTAGTAAGGTGGCGCTTCATACACCATTTATAGCTCTAACTTTTTATGTGCTGACACTCCAAATAATTTATGTACTCTCTCTCTTTCTCACTCTGCCCACATTACAGAGTGTAATAATTCAGTGGTGTTTTTAATGTAGACCTAAGCTTGAGAGGCTAAGTCCTGAAATGTTCCAAAACTTTTCATTGTAAAGTCTGACGTGTGTGTGTGTGTGTGTGTAACACACATATTAAGAGAGCTGTGCAGTGCAAGTTGAAAAAAAGATTTAAATGAAAGTCTAAGCGCCAAGGTTTAAACAGGGAAGATGTAACTGGAGCTCAGTACTGGAAAGCCCCAATCCCTTTTAATTAATCCACCATCTTTGGTAAGAAGGGTTAGTTAACAGACTCGGCAGTGTAGTGTCAACCCAGAGTTCATCAAGAGCCACAGAGGAGATGAACATTGCACTGAGCCTATGAAACCTTTCAATTAGAAAAAAAGTTTCATTATCAAAGCTCGAGACAAAATTTGATGCCATTCCTATTTGTCGTTTTACACCTCAGTTTTACTACGTTGTACAGTTATGTATACTTCTTTTTAGTTGTGACGTCAAACATTTCCCTTCTTCTCCTCTATCATATCACCCAGTGTAAGATAAGCGCACTAATGTTTCCACTAATCTCTCCCCTTACCCCACAGACTTTTGAGTCTTCTCAAATGCACAATGGACATTAATTGTTACCCTTGAATCTGTGAGGGATTTTGCAACACTTGAACTCTTTTTCAATTCTAACATTTCAGAAGTTTTACCTCACTTGGCATTGTCTTTTTTGCGATAAAGGAATCCCTGGTGCTCAGATAAAAGGTGATTCCATAACACTACATCCCTTACATGCTGACACATCTTAATTTTAAAAACAAAGAAATGCATTGTAACATGTAAAAAATGTCTTTTTTCATTTATAATTTTTCCTGACATTTAATCTGCAAATTTGTATCTCCTTTTTCCTTTTGTTAAATGGAAAAGTCCTTAATTGGAAAGCTGGGGTAAATTAATGAATAGATCATTTTTAAGGCATGAAATGAAAACGAGACTGCAGGCTGCATAGACGTGAGGTGATACTTGTCCAAAAAAAGTTTTAGTCGCCAAAGAAAAACGCTAGCTAGTACAAACAAGTGCCCACTTATTATTTGAAGTGAATGACAGCTTGCTGTAACGAGCATCAAAAGTAAGCACTACCGTCTTTGCAAAAGTCAAAAGGAGTGTCGGTAAGCGTCGAGATTTCGGTCTGATTCGCCTGGGGAAAGAAATGCAAGGTTGTGAGGGCTTTAGTAATTCTTGTGCAGTGCGTCACTGTTGCCTCTCTGTCCATTGTGAATGTGAAACATCCCCTCATACTCATCCTGTTTGCCTGTAATCTTAGACTGCCAATGATTTGCAGAGTTTAGAGGTCACTGGCGTTCTACTTTGCTACGTTTTGTGCAAGGCTACCCTGTGTTACAGTGCTGTAGTAACATGCCGAATGTGTTCATTTTATCTTGTAGATGGCATTTTAGAGGCAAAGGTTGAAACAGTGTATAGAAATTGGCAAATTGAGAATGCATAGACCAAAATACACTGTGAAAACTGCCCCTTGTTTCTTAATTTATGACTGAGCCTTTTCTTTTCTTTTCTTTTCTTGTGAACAATATAATTTATTTTTAGTAACTTATTATTTGTTTTTAATATTTCAGTAAAGTTAAACAGCCACATTGAGGTTGTTGCCATTTTTCTCTCTGATTCACTACCAATCGTTAACTTAATAAGCTGCTCACCATTTACACTAAAAGATTGCCACAACCAATAACGTGCCCAACACTGGAGTCTATGCAAAATGTTTGCTGTAATTGCAAAGAGGAAATGTGAAACTTGGAAACAGTTTAAAACACTGACTGGGTCTAGAAACTATTGGGAACTAGAAGCACTTGAGCTGGAGCGCCATTTAGAGATCTGACTGCAGTTTGGAAAAAAGTGTGTCATCCAACAGCTATGAAGCTTTCTTTTGTCTGTTTGTTTGTCTTTTTAATGTGCGTTTATCATGCAACTCATGTTTACAGCAAAGCACATAGTAGGAGGAGTTGGACTTTAAAACAGTAACGTGAGGTGGCATCAAACTGATTGGTAAGCAGTTTAGTCTAATATATGTCCTAAGGGCTAAACTCCAGTACACCACATAATGATTGAAACGCCCTGAAAGTTAAAGTGGCACGCACAGAAACTGGAATGAGCATAAAGATCCCAGTTTATTATTACTCTACTTCTTTAGCTTGAGATTATTACATTAACCGCATTGTGTCTTCATTGTTGAGGATTACAGAAGCTGCCCTACATAAAGTGACTACCGTAATGCTTGCATACTATAACACTGGCTAAACAAAGTCTTTCTTGTTTCAGTTATTTGTTGTGGGTTTTTGTTTATTCAAGCAGACATCATTCATAATCATTCTACTGCTGTTACTTTGTTTCCACATATTAATTTAATAGACTTGATAGCCCGAAAAATTTCAGTGAAATACTAAAACAGATGTTTGTGTGAACGCTATGAGCGAACTGTCCTACTGGGTATTCAGATAACTTGTTTTGCCTTTTCTATACCCTTGGAGTAAAAAAAGAAATCTATAGGTATCTATGTAATTGATTGGATGGTTGTATGTATGCCATCAGTTAAATGTTTCCTTCATGTTTACTTATTTTTAACATAACCACTAATGTAGCCTATCTGTTTGTGAATACAAGAGGTGATGCTTACATTTCAATTCTTTTTTTTTTTTTTTTTTTGTGAGTTTGGAAATGGCAAATAAAGTGGACATTACTAATAACACTTTGTGTATGTTCTGTGTGATACGTTTATTGTTTTTTGCACTGAACGGGTGAACTTTGAAGTGCTGTGTTATATGTATAAACATGGATAATCTCTATCTCCTTACCCTGATCTTTCTTAGAGGAAAAGCACTATTTTAAGGTCATAAAACAAGCTCTTGAAGTGTCTAGGTTCTTTCTAAGCTCCTTAGAAACTCATGAAGTCTTTCAGCAGGCCTGTATTGCCAGGACAATGGCAAGACATGTCCATAAAAACACACCACAAAAAAACTTGCCAGAAAATGGAAAAGTAACATTTATTGGTGTCTTTGTTGGATAAATAACAATAAAAACAGGTAAATAAATATATTTGTCACAATTTCAGCTTGTGCATTTGGTTTAGAGAAAAAAGTAAAAAAATTGCTTTAGCTTTTAGGTATCTTTCTCGTGTTACACCGTGTCTGCGATGAATGATGTTGTAATTTGTAAGGTATTTTAGTTTTATTGCATATAAATGTATCTATGCGCACACAGAATTTGAAATGTTATTGTACAATAGTGAGCAAACTAAGGTGTAGGTTGAGCTTGTGCATTGCCAGTCAGATCATCTTCTAATATTATTAAAAAATATCCTGAGTAAATGCAAAATGCAGTTGGTAAATGATTTAATGTATTAACTGTAAAGGTTATCCAAACCTACCTGACCATATGTGAAAAGTTCTGCAAAGAAAAGTGGGCCGAAATTCCTTTGATGTGTGAGACTCATTGCCAGTTATTGCAAATGCTTGACTGCAGTTCTTGCACCCAAAGGTGGCCCAATAGGTTACTAGGTTTAAGGGGTATTTACTTTTTCCTGAGGCCAGGTAGGTTTGGAAAGTTTTTTTTCTTTAATAAAAAGAAAACCTGTTTTGTTTTTAATACTTAAATTTAACTTCTTAATTTTCCAATCATTCCTTTGACAAATGACCATATTCTGTATAGTAATAATTAATCATTTAAACTGAGGAATGAGGAACAGATTAACTGTGATTAACGGCGCGTGACGGCAGCATCTGGTCTTATTGTAATCAATGGAAAGACGTAACCTGTAGTTCCATTTACTGGATACGTAGAAAATAACCATCTCCTGTACACTCTGGTTAATATCGCATTTTCATATCATATTATGTGGTGGTTTTTTGATGGTAGGGGTTTCCCTTTCGCTGTGACGTTACCAATGGATTACGAATACGAGTGCCATTGGTTGACAGCGACGCACAAGGCCTGTAGTTTGAAAGCAGCCTGGGCCCGGGTGAGCTGTACCGTTAGCTGTACTGGGAACAAAGTTATATTAATATAAACACATTCAGAGATTTTTTTGAGCTATTTAACGCAGAGGTTTTGCTACTTTCGGGTAATGCTGCAATCAGCTGAGGTAGCAGTCCAGCAAGATACGTGGACGCAGGCGTGTTTTTGAATGGCATTGTTTTCTTGCATGTTGACTGAGTTGTCTTGAACTCCACACAAGGAGAAGCTAGCTGGCTAAGTTGCTAGCGGCTAGCTGGTTAGCCGCGGACTATCCGGCCAACTCGCGTGCTGTTCACTTCCTTGTTGCACACCGGAGTGTGATGGAGGGCAAGAAGTTTGTGAGAAGGAGACGGAGTTGACTACTTACATTTTAACACTATTCGGTAAATGGATTTACATGCTCGCACAGACGATAACGTTTTAGAAAAAGTGGATCTTAAATTTAGAGAGGCTTTAGGCCTGTGCTTTTACCATGAAACGAAATGCGACTGTGTAGCCGAGTACAGTTAGCCAGTTAATACTAGCTGGCTAAACCGACTAGCATTAGCTGATAAATCTGGGAGATGTCCGTCCTGGAACACAATGGTTGAGTATCGTATGGCTCTGTAACCAAGAATCATTTTGTGAATTTGATATGAGCCGGAGTGTGCTGGCACTAAGTGTCATTAATTTCCCTCTGAACTAACTCACTTTATCTTCAATCTGAACTGTACTAGCTTTGTAATGCTAACGTTAAGCTAGCTAGCTGGCTGGCTGTCTACCTGTGATTTTGCTGTTACGTTAGCTGACTAGCCTGTCACCATAGCTAGCCCAATGTTTTGTTCCACGACACACCAAGGGACATAGCTTTGGTAAATTAGAGAATATATTATTCTTAGCGTGGTGGTAGCATTTATTTGGGAGATAAATGCCTAATTCGGAGGTGCTTCGCGAGGGTCGGGGACGGAGTCCCTCTGCACAGAGAAATGCTAGCAGGCAGGACAGGCGTAGCAAACCGGGGAGCGGTGCCGCTCAGCGAGACAGGCACCGTGAGAAGAGGCGCTCATCGGCTTCTAGAAGAAAGAAACGCAGGCAACCCAAGGAAAGAGGCTTGTGGCATACCGGTACAATAGAAGACCCTGACAATGATCGAAGAAGTGCTTTTGAGAAAGATGTTGAACTTCGGACACTGGTGGAGTACGATGACGTGAGCTCCCAGTCAGAGCGTTTTTCTGGGAGCCCCTCTCCTAAACTTGACCCCCATGCTGAGAGTCTCACAGCGGACCGACTTAGCGATGTTGACGTTGTTGACTATAATGGACCAGCATCCCCAGACAGAAGTCACCCCAGAGAGCGGGAGGCAGTAAGCCTCAGCAAGGACGAGAAAACAAGAGGACCATCTGAGAGAAGCAGGCAAGAGAAGGAGCTAAGTAAGAAAAAAGACCGTCACAGTCGGGAGAGGGACTCCTCAAAAGCCAGGAGTGGAGGAAGCCTGAGTGGCTCTAAAAATCACAGAGACACTACAAGGAGCAGTGACAGGAATGGCAAAAGGACATCTACATCCCAGTCCTCACAATCTGCTGATAAAAGGGATTCAAAAAGGCACAGAAGTAAAACAAGATCTGATAAAGAGCCCCCATCTGCATACAGAGATGCTCCACAGTCTTACAGAGATGATCGTGAGGACCTCAGGGCATACAGGAGAAGTCCTGGTTTTAAATCAGAAAGTCCCTATGGGACATCATATTCATATAACTACCAGTCTCCTGGCGGTTATAACCAGCTGATATCTAGAAGAAGTCCAACTTATGGGAGCAAAAGACTTTCTCCCAGTTCCACATATTACAGCCGGGATGCAGACATGTATGGGTCGTACGGTGCCCCCAAGTCACCCAGTTCATACTCGAGCAACAAAAGGAAGAGATCACCTGTGAGCCCAGTGAACTGGCGCAGGTCTCCGAGTTACGGTCGGCACAGTCCTTATGAACAAGGAGAGTTTGGCTCAAGTCCTTATGGTAACCGGAGGCGATCACGGAGTCCATATAGGAAGTCCTTGAGCCCAAGTCCTGATGTCAGGTGAGTTGTTATTACGCAGCTAATTGAACATGTTTAATTTGTTGCACATGCTCTGTTGGTGTGGTGACTTTATTAGATTTGTTATAATAAGGCTGCACTGTTTCATTTTTCATTAAAAAAAAAACAACCCAAAAAACAACTTGCATGTGTCACTGCAGTTGCTAATCTGACTGAAATACCTTGAATTATAAGTGCTTTTGATGTACCAACTGAACATGCTGTTCTCATCATTTCCTTTCCAGGCGATCTGCTAGGTCACGCAGTAGAAGTCCATATTCAACTTCAAGGCATTCACGTTCTCGCAGCCGACACCGCCACTCTCGTTCCCGTAGTCGGCCATCTAGTCTTTCACCAAGCACGCTCACCTTCAAAACTAGCCTTGCTGCTGAACTCAGTAAGCAGAAAAAGGCTAAAGCTGCAGAAGCAGCTGCTAAGGCCAAGAATTCGAGCAATACATCGACTCCCACCAAGGGTTCC